TTTTGGTTGCAGCCGTCGTCGTTGTTTGGCAGGCCCAGGCTGGGTTCAAACTCGCCAGCAAGCCAAGAGAAAGGAATTAATTTGCATCATAGCTCCCAGCAGCCTCAAACTCTAGGGCTCATTTTGCCTCATCTCATGAGTAGCTGGGACTATAGGTGCCCTCCACAACTCCAGGCTAATTTTTTTTGGTTTTTAGTAAATGGGGTCTTGCTTTTGCTCAGGCTGGTCTTGAGTTCCTGAGCTCAAGGAATTGACCAGCCTTGCTTCCCAGAGTGCTAAGATTATAGGCATGAGTAGGGTGACCAGATGTCCCACCTTTTAACAATTTGTCCTGCATCCCACGGCGTTTTTTAAAAAGTCCCGATTTTTGGAAAGAATGCACCAACGGGCAGGAGAACAGGAAGGGAATATCCGGTTTTCCGCTGCCATGTGGCTATTTTCCCAGAATATGAGTTTTTATATTATTTTTGTTAATTTTATAATGTTAGACTGTAATAATAACAAATAATTCTTGAGAAGTGATTATCGAGCAAACTTTGATAAGCAGTTCATTGTTGTCAGGCCCTGCCCTGCCCCCGCCCCACGGCCATGCTGTCCCACTTTACAAATGTTAAAATCTCGTCACCCTAGGCATGAGCCACTGTGCCCGGCCTTGAACCAACGTTGTAAACACTTATTTTGGACTTTTAGCCTCTAGAACTATGGGATGGTAAGTTGTCTGGGTTTTTTTTTGAGACAGAACTTTAAGCTGTCCCCATGGGTAGAGTGCTGTGGTGTCTCAGCTCACAGCAACCTCCAACTCCTGGGCTCAAGCGAGTCTCCTGCCTCAGTCTCCCAAGTAGCTGGGACCACAGGCGCCCGCCACAACTCCTGCCTGTTTTTTGGTTGTTAGCTATCATTGTTGTTTGGCGGGCCCGGGCTGGATTCGAACCTACCACCTTAGGTGTATGTGGCTGGTGCCGAGCCAAGTTTTCTGTTTGTTTAAGTCAAAAGAAAAGAAAAAAAATGCTGAGAAGACAGACCTTGCTGTTTTCAGTTCTCTGAAGGGGAAACGGGAGCTTAGGGTTTATAGAATCCTAGCTTTGTCATGTATTTAGCTTTCTTCCCTCCTGCCCTCCCCCCTCCCCCCCCAGCATGGAGAATGCTGGCAAATCATTTAAACCTCATCATTGTTTTCTTTTTGGAAAGCTTTTATTGTGGTAACATAATTAGCGTAATTCAGTGGCGTTAACGACATTCATAACTGGCCCTTTGTATGTCTTCTTTTGAATTGGTTTGTCCTTTGGTGTTGAGTTATAGGATTTCTTTATGTATCTTAGAAATTAATCCTGTATTAGGAGGCGGTGCCTGTGGCTCAGTGAGTAGGGCACCAGCCCCATATACCGAGGGTGGCAGGTTCAAACCTGGCTCTGGCCAAACTGCAACAAAAAATAGCTGGGCGTTGTGGCAGGCGCCTGTAGTCCCAGCTACTTGGGAGGCTGAGGCAAGAGAATCACCTAAGCCCAGGAGTTGGAGGTTGCTGTGGGGGTGATGCCATGGCACTCT